TTAATATAAATATAATGTCTGAATAAAAGCCTAATTTAGTGGCAATACATCTAATAATCAGAGATTATTTTCATGTCAATTATTTGAATAAGAAAATCGATATCTACTGCTTGTATACAATAATATGATATAATACTCTGGTTATTCGTAATTCCCTATTAATTGACAATTTATCGATTGAGACAAAAATGAATGCATTAATGAGCAAATAATTAGGTGTAAATTAGATACAAAAAAATCCATATATTTTTAAATAGATGACTGACTCGGAGACGACAAAAGCGTTGGCGTGAATGGTCTCGAGAACGTCCTCCAGAGCTACTTTAGAAGTGAGTGTATTTCCGTGGTATACAACCGGACCGTCATTTCCATCATAACAGTCCACTTTCACACAACGACACCCTTTCATAATAGGATCGCATATCTGTGTTAAGCAATCAAACAATGGAAATGTCTTCAATAGACAATACCTTGGAGTAGAGCTCTGGCATATCCTTCAGCACTTGACGGTCCTTTTAGTTGGTCTTCGAGTAGATAACTGGTTGTAGAAGAATATAATGAATTATAAGATTACTGTTATATTGAATAGGGATGAGACAAGACTGACGTGTTATGAGAGGTTGAGATGAAATAATGCGATAATGGCTGAGACATGTCATGACAGATATCTTTGTGATGAACTGACATTATATCACATTCTTCTGAGAGTAGAAATTGTGTGAAGCCATCGATGAGTAGCTGTTTATTAGTTCGGGCCTCTTCTGAGGGCTCGTATTTGGTAATGAGATCCAGACATTCCTCAATACTAAGACCACACACTCCCTGTTCGCCCTCCAGAAACAGTTGCAGGTCTTCAACAGTCATATAATCTCTCCCACAATACCTAACATTCATTGAATCAAAAATAATATATTATTCAAAGTTTGTTTTCTACTAATTATCTGCAAACACAAAGAGTTGGAGTCCATTACATACCGGACAAGAATAAAATAAATGTCAGGTCTGGTCGCCGTCTCTGTAAACAACGTAATGAACACTTTTTTGCTGATCCTTCCCCTCTCTTCTTCATCCTTTCCGAACTCAAACTCCATTATCTTTTGCTTCAAACTTCTGATACAGAGCTTATCGTTTAACTTCTTCATCAACGCTATTGTCTCCCATTCGTCAAGCATTCCCTTCTGGTCGCTGTCGGCCGCGTCGAACACCTGATGCAACCATTTCTCCCGCATCTTCTGTCGGCCCTCA